AGGCCCACGCCCCGTGCGCACACGTGCGCCTGCCTGTGCCACGTCCCGGTGGCGCACCTACCCCTGGGTGGTGGAGGCTGTGACGCTGACCACCATGATGGTGGCGTTGGTGAGGATCTGCTGCAGGTTCTCGTTGTTCTTGCACTTGTCCAGGCTGTTGCCCAGCTCCTGGCGGGGAGGCAGGCACGGAGGCTGAGGGTGGAACTTGCCCCGGCTCCCGCTCAGGCTCCCCAGGGACACTGGGAAGGTGGGGTCTGCACGGTGGGGCCTCTCCTGCCTCCAGTTCAGACGGTCACCGCTCCAAGTGTCAGCACTGTGGCAGCTCCTCAAGGGCAGCCACGCTCAATGGGCCATGGGCCATGCCAACTCAGAGCTCAGGTCACCACGGCGCTTCCTCCACCACCAGCCTGATCTGCACACAGGCAGGGCCCTGTGGTGCTGCCCGGGCTGGGCTGGAGCTAGCGACCTTCCCCGCCAGCCTCGCACATGCTGGGCCTGCCCCTCTCCTGGGGTCCCAGGCACTCCCGCACAGCTACCCCAGGTCTGCTGTGCTCGGGCCTTTGCGCCACCGCTCACCTTGACCGTTCGGATGTAGTCCAGTGCGTTGGGGACCAAGGACTCCAGCTCAGGAAACCTCTTCGAGTACTTGTCCCGGATGAACTTGTGGATGATGTCTAGGGAGGCGGGCAGGGGCTGCCCGTGAGGGAACAGGCCGTGCATGGTCCCCGACACCGCTTCCCATTCCTTATGCCAAAACTCGGGGCGCAAGTTGGCACGAGGACACCCAGCACAAGGACACACGAAGGCTGCGCTCCTGGCCCTTTCACACTCGCGGTGGCTGCCTCGGTCCAAGCCATGAGCAGAAGTAACGCGGGCAGCTTCTAGGACCCGCCCTGGGGAAGGAACTGTGCGCTCCCTTCCCGGGTAAGCTGGACCGGACCGGCACAGGAGCCTGGGGCAGCACGCAGGGCAAGGCCAGCGGGGGTGCGGAGGGCTGCAGACAGGGCTGCCGCGCTGCCCGGCACTCACTCAGCTCGTTCTCGATCTCCACGGTCAGGTTGTTGGCATCCACGATGACGCGGTACTCGGGGGCTGCCTCGACTGGTCCCATCACTGTGAGGAGGAGAGGCGCTGGGTCTGCACCCCGCCCCTGCCCAGGGCACATGGCACCAGCCTGCCTCTGCGCCCCTCTGTGCTCTGGGCCAGTCCGGGCTCCACTTTGTCCTGCCTCCCCCTGCCAGGGCTAATGATCGAGCCCCTGGAGTGACACTCGAGGGTGCGCTGTGTGGGACGCTCCACGGGGACAAGTTCCACAGCTGTGCTCCCCACGTCTGCACCCACGGTGCCCAGGACCCTGGAGTCCTCCCCTGGTTTGTGCCCCGCACTGTGGCCTCTCCCCATAGCTCCCCTAACTGCAGATGATGGGAGCACAGCTACTCCACTTCCAGTCTCCGCAAGTCAACGTCCCCTCCACTTCTGCTTCCGGAAAACCATTCTGCCCACTACCACCTATCACAATTAGTAAGTACTAGGCATAGAATAAAGGCTTTATCATGCAACGTTTTTGTTTTTGTTACTGGGGATCGAACATGGGCCCTTGTGCTTACAAAGCGGGCGGCAGAACCACTGAGCTAAATTCCCAGCCCTCATGTAACGTTTTTAGGGGAGAAGTAGACTGAGGTAGGACGGATGAAAAGAGGGCTCTGGAAAAGGCCCAGAGGAAGACTCGGTACTGGAAGCAACGAGAAGCCAAAGAGCTGTGAGGCCCAACAAGAGAATGAGGAGGGAGAAGCAGGGGTGTGGCACCTTCTGAAGCTTTGGCTTGCTTGCTGATGTACTCCTCGATCTTCATCATGATCTCAGCGAACTGTCAGAAAAGGGGGAGGGAGTCACCAGGGCCCTTCAGAAAGAGGAGTTACTGCTTCATCACCTGTCCGAGCTGTCTGCAGCCCCTCAGCCCGGTCCCTCTCACCATCTTGCTGTCCCACAGCTTGGCGATACTCTTGACGGAATCCCCAGAGAGATCCAGCTGTGTCTCCTCCTGTACATCCTCAATCGCCGGCTCCTCTTCTTCCTCTCCATAGCTTCCTGCTTCCTCCTCTTCTGCTGCCTCCTCAAGGTCAGCCAAGAGCTCATCAGCGAGAGACATCCCGAGGCCTGTGGGGAAGGAAGAACCGATTCGGTTAGACCTCACCTGAGCAAGTCCTCTCCATCAAGTGAAGGACCTCTCTCCTGGGAAGCCTGGTCCTTCTTTATTAGCACTCGAGCTCCGCAAGTTGGAGTGCTTCCTCTTGCTTTGTTCTCCAGGGATGTCTGCATCCCTACCCATGTAAGATATGGCACACCCTGCCAACAGCCACCCTGTTGTGACTTACCCGCTTCTCACCTCTGGGTCTTCGCACAACCAGTCCCCTTTGCCTAAAATGGCTCTCTGCCCCTCTTTAGTGCCCAGCAGCTCCTCAGCCCTCAGCTCCCAGGCTCCATCTGTCCGACCCCTGCACCCTTTTCCAGCCTGCGGCGGGTCCTGCGTGTGTGCCCCGAGGCACTTCCCACATCAGAGCTTAAGCGACTCCTTAGTGGAGCCTGCCTCCCGGGCATCAATCATTGCTCTAAGAGGACAGCGAACGAGGTTACTCCTGACCTATCCCCAGGGCCATAAAACAGGAGGAGCATACGAGGCTTTGGGAGACCAATCCGTGAAGGCCCGGATTTCTCCTTATTAGCCTCCTCCTCCAGACCTAGGAGTTTGGCCTCCGGCCCTCCCGCTGCCCCGCAAACTCACCTCTTCCCTCCTTGAACGACGGTTTCTAGGAAATTAGCTTCACAGCAGCGGACGGCGCTCACGGATGACGTAACGCGCCTAGCCGGACCAAAATGCGCTCTGATTGGCCACCGCCACCGCGACGTTCTTGCCGCGTTTGGAACAACTTTATTAGCACCGACTTCCGGTGCAGTCGGACGAGCGGGGCGCGGAGAGGCGCTTAGCGGGCTCGCGGCCCCAGAGGATCGAGCCGGCTACGCGGAGAGTCGCCTCGGCCAGACTGCGGAGGGTCGAGACCAGTATAAAGACAGCGCAGACTGGTAGCGGTGTAGAGGAGAAAGCAAGGCCTTTAAGCCGTGGTTTTGGGTAGGGAGACGAGGGTGAGGGAAACGAAGCCGAAAATAGGAAACTACATCTCCCAGAAGGCCGCGGGCTTCCTGGGCCGCGAAGCCTGATGGGACCGGTAGTTCTGGACACGGATCAACCTAGACTCCTGAGGCTGAAGGGGTGCGGCCTGGGGTGCCCGGAGCCGGAGAAATGGAGCTGGAGCAGAGAGAGGGGTGAGTGGCCGAGCCGCGAGCGGGGACGGGCCGCGAACTCCAGAGGATGCTGCGGCCCGCGATGCGCCGCCGCCGTCCTGTGCCCGGGGTCCGCTGGGGATTGTAGTTCATGCAACTGCTGTACGCTGCCACTATTGGGGATCCTGGGGTCTACACCGGAGAAGACCGGGATCAGACGGGACTCGGGTCTGAGAGACCTGGAGGATTCAAGAGGAGGGCTGAGGAGTGAGGAGGGGCTGGAGAGCTGGGATCCGGCGCCCCTCAACCCCTCTGGCCCTGCAGGACCATGGCAGCCGTGGGGTTCGAGGAGTTCTCAGCCCCGCCGGGCTCGGAGTTGGCGCTGCCCCCCCTGTTTGGCGGCCACATCCTGGAGAGCGAGCTAGAGACCGAGGTGGAGTTTGTGTCTGGTGGCTTGGGGGGCTCGGGGCTCCGGGAGCGTGACGAAGAGGAAGAGGCGGCCCGGGGGCGGCGGCGGCGCCAGCGGGAGTTGAACCGCAGGAAGTACCAGGCGCTGGTCCGGCGCTGCCGGGAGATCGAGCAGGTAAGTGAATGTGGGGTCCCGCTCAGGGTCACCACCTGATCACCAGCCTGCCGGCCCCGCACCAGTCTCCCTTGGGTCCCCTTCCTCCTCTGCACCCCAGGGCCCCTGCCCTGGACTCAGGGCCTAGACCCTATGGGCAGGTACAGCAGGGCAAGAACTTCGGAATTCTTTTGGTGAGCCGGAGCAGTTGAAGTGCTTTAGAGGGGGCAGGTGGAGCAGTGTTGGGTCTCTGACTCCCTGAAGAGTTTCGTGGGCTTGCTCAGACCGCTGGAGCTGCGAAAGTACCACTGGCTGGTGGCTCAGCGACAGACACATGCCGTCTTCCAGTTTCACTTAAGTTTTTTCTGACACAGGACCTATATAGACCAGGCTGGCCTTAAACTTACAGCAATCCTCCTGCCTCAGCTTCCAGAGTGCTGAGATTACAGGTGCCCCCACACCTGGCTTTGTCTTGCAGTTCAGGGGCAGGAAGTCTGGGACCAGGGTGTCAGTGGCCATTCCGAGGGCTGATGGAGTCCTGCCGCTGTCCATTGGCCTGTTGCTGTTGCCAGTGACCGTGGTGTCCTTTGACGTGTAGCGTTAACCCTGGCCCCTGCCCTCATCCTCACGTGCTGCTCTGTGTGTGAGTCTGTGTCTCAAGTCTCTCCATTATACAAGGACAGCAGCCACTGAGCAAGGGTGTACCCCGGGACCTCACTATGACGTGCTGGCCTCTGGACGCGATCTTGGAATACAGCTCCATGCTGAGGGGCAGGGTCTGGACTCCAGCACACTTTCTGAGGGCACTGAGCCCAGGCTTCGGCCATCATTCAGGTGTGACCCACGGGTCCGTGACAGTCCTCACTAAAGTGGCCACTGTAAGGTCGGGCCCTCAAGGGTCTGCTGTGTGTCACTCTAAAGTACTGGGGACAGGCTGTCCTCGTGGAGCTTGTGTTGGGTTGGGGAGCAGACAGTGAGTGAAGAAAGAACACACAGGATAGGAGAGTCACTGTGTAGGGGAAAAGCAAGGGAGAAGGGGGAGGGGCAGGGTTCTAGCATGGGATCAGGGAGGCACAGGGGCTCCCTCAGCAGGAGACAGCTTTGCTCTTGGGCTTGGGAGCCGTGAGAAGGCCTCAAGCAGAGGGAACAGAGTGTTGAAAGCCCCAGAAAAGTGGGACAGTAGAGCACTGGGAGGCAGACACGGGGTGTACCTGGCTACTTAGTGAGACTGGGGTGTAGCACAGTGTTCGATCCCCAGGACAGGAGTGTGCACGTGTGCTCGGGAGCCAGCATTTGGTGGAAGCCAGCACCTCCGGGTGGACAAGGGGGCAGATGGTGGGTGGGGAGGGAAGTGCCTGAAGCCGAGCAGTGACCGGCGCTCTCTCCTTCACAGGTGAACGAGAGCGTCCTCAACAGGCTGCACCAGGTGCAGAGGATCACCCGGAGGCTGCAGCAGGAGCGGAGGTAGCCCTCTTCCCACCCGGCCAGCTTCTCTGACTGCCAGGGCACCTGGGCCATGAGGGCACAGGGTGCAGGCTTGGATGTGAGCACCGTGTGGAGGGCAGCGCTGGGCAGGCGCAAGCACGCACCAGCTGTGATCCGGGGCAGGCGGCAACCCCGAGCTGCACAGGGGCTGTGCTGGTGAAAAGGGCTGAGCGGCTGAGCTCAGAGCACCCCCACAACCCTTGGCAGGGCCTGAGCCCCGAAGCCTGTGGCCCACTGTGCTCACCTGCCGCCTGCCGTGTGTGGTGGGGGACAGGCCCCGTGTGGGAGCACTGCGTGCCCATCGTCTCGTTCCCTTGCCGCTTGGCCGAGCGTGTCTCGCTAGTGAGTCACCAGCACGCGTTTCCCTGACCCCTTGGCTGTCACTGTCCATTACAGGCAGGAAACCAACAGTCGGACAGATGCCCTGCCCGGGCCCCAACTGCAAAGCTGGGGACTCCAGGCCAAGGGCAGCGGGGGCTTCGGGCAGAGGGGGAGCTGGGCCTGCTGAGCCCCTGCCAGGAGGCCATGGCCCCACTGTTGCATCTCTGTCCACACAGGTTCCTCATGAGGGTGCTGGACTCCTACGGAGATGACTACCGGGCCAGCCAGTTCACCATCATGCTGGAGGTGAGCACCACTACCGGGGCTTGGGGTACCGGGAGCAGAACGCAACCTTCACCTGCCCCCCTTCCCCTCCAGGACGAGGGCAGCCAGGGCACAGATGCCCCCACCCCAGGCAACGCTGAGAATGAGCCTCCCGAGGAGGGGCTGTCCCCACCCAGAAGGACTCCCGCAGCCCAAGAGGGTGGCAGCCCGGCCCCTGGTGAGGGGCCCAGCGGGCGGAAGAGGCGGCGAGCACCACGGGATGGGGGCCAGGGGGGCGCTGCGCAGACCCCAGAACTGGCCCCTGTGCAGGTGTGCAGGAGCCCGGGCGGGGGGAGGCAGGAAGGAGCTCCAGGTCAGGCCCTGGAAATGGCCAGGGAGGGGAGGGCCCAGGGTCCGCTCTGCCTGCAGGGGGAGCAGCCATGGGGAGGCTTCTCGGTTCCCAGGCCCATGAGTCCGATTCCTGTCTGTCTCCCCAGGTTAAGGTCGAGGAAGACTTTGGCTTTGAAGCAGACGAGGCCCTGGATTCAAGTTGGGTTGCTCGGGGGCCTGACAAACTGCTGCCCTACCCTACTCTGGCCAGCCCACCCTTCGACTGACTGCACCCCAATAAACCAACCCCCATGTGCCTCAGTCAGTGCCTGCTGCTCCCACCCCCAGGCACGCATGTGCGCACACTCAGAACCAGGGTTTGGCGTTCACACTTTTATTGGGGGCCAGGGGAGGGGGCCACCTCCCTGTCCGTGGCAGGAAGTGCTCACAGTTTCTTCAGCCACTCCAGGCTGGGGCCCTGGGGGTCCTGGGGGTGGCTGGGCACATCAGGCATATTCCCATCATCTCGGACGGGCACTGTGGGAAAGGAAGGCGGGCCACTGAGACCATCTGGTCCCTGCGGCCCTCTGGAGAAGCCAAAACGGCCTGTCCGTTTATGCTCAGAGAGGGAAGTGGCCCAAGAGAGAATGGGTGATACAGAGACCAACAAGAGAAGCAGTAGGCACAGGAGCCCAGCAGGAACAGAAATCTGGAAAGATGGCTCAAAGCATAAAAACACGGGAAGCGGGTACTGTCATTCGATCTGGGCAGCAGAGTCCACACTCGCAGGGTGCTGCCCTCCGTGGGAAAGACCCACTCACCTGGGTAGTTGTAGGGCGTGACCTGGTTGACCATGACGGAGTATTTGGTGTAGGGGCTGAGTGGGGGCAGAATTATAGCTGTGGAGAGAGAAGTGAGGTGTGGGGTAGGGTGGATCAAGGTATCCCCAGGAGGCTGCTTTGCCCTGGGGCCCTTGCACCCCCTGGGCCCCACTCACAGGTGGAGGGTTGTGGGGGGGTGAGGCCTAGCACTCAGCTATGTCAGCCACAGGGCAGGGACGGGGTAAGTGGGGCAGTCCTAGAAGGGCGCAGTGGTCATGGAGCATGGGGGGCTCGGGATGTTTCAGAGGACACACGAATGCTGCCAGCTGTGGGAGGACGGCTGCACAGAGGGATCACTGACCAGGGGGAGAGTTTTCTAGTAGCCACATTAAGAAAAAAGGATACAAACAAACTTCACAAAGTACTTTAGCCTGGTATGCTCTAACCATTTCCCACAGAATGGACATAAACAGTACACGCACTTTGAAAATTCAGCGTATCTTGTACCATCTCTGCTACCAGCCCTACTTTATGAGTGCAGTGCCCACTGCTGGAGGCCTGTTCGAGGAGCTCTGCCAGCGTGTGGTCTGTGTGCAGAGTCCCAGGCCCCACCCCAGGGAGACTCGACCCACTCGGGGATTTGCTCGGACTCCCAGCTCGCCTCCGCCCTAACCAACTCAATTCAGAGTCGGGGAGGGAAGAAGGTACGCAAAATTAGTTCCCGTTATCCGTTATCACTCTTGGAACCCCGGGGTTCTCAGGGTACAACCGGGGGTAAGAGGACTGAGCACCTCTTGCCCACAGGCGG